TATATTATTGGATACGGTAACATGAATGCACGTGCACCACGTCATTATAACTTCTGTATTGTTAGCCAGGCACGGCTGAAAGGTCAATATAATAAATACATTAATGCTATGAGATTTAAGCAATTTAGTCTAAACATTGGTGTTTTTGTGTTATAATTTGTAGTCATTCTAGAACGAAAAAGGCATAATTTATATTTTTTTCCTAATTTTTCATGGTGGTTAGGAGATTGGTCAAATCGACCAAACCCATACAAAGATTTGTTAGGGAAAAAGTGAAAATAACAGATAAAATATAAAGATTTTTCTTAAGAGATGTTTGATAACCTGGATGTTATAAAGATTTTGCATGTGAAATTTGAAAATTTTCTGATGCATAAAAGATTTTTTAATCTTAAAATGAAAATTACTTTGCATGTTGGATAGGTAATATGTGTAAAGAAAAAAGGCAAGAGAAAATCATTGCTGAACAAACCTTAAGTCTTAATAAAAAAATCTGATATTTTGTGTATGAAAGCCTTGTAATGTTTACTGATAATCTGCCAAATTTCGTGAACATGTGTTTACTAATTTAAAAGTTATAGCATGAAAACTATAACAAGTGCAATATGGTTACGAGGTCAGTCTGAAGGACGAAGCCCAAGCTGAAGGAGTTAAACCAGTGTGTGTTAAGCAGTGAACACATTGTGCACAGAAATTGGACAAATGCATGCTGTACAAGATATAAAGTATTTCTTACCCTATAACAAATATCTTAATGCTTCCGTTATTCAAAGTGGTGTGGAAATAATGCACCTGTACTACCAAGCAATTTTTCACATGTTACCCTAACCACACAGTGTATTTTTCAGTCCTGACCTGTAGTCTGTTAGTTCTAAGTAGAGTTGTCTACTGTATGTGCAGATAGCTTTTGAGTATCTTTATGTGAAATCCATGAACTAGCCATAAAAGTTCTGTAAATCTATTGTTTATGTAGTTGTTTTCCATAAATACTCACCTCATCAAATCATTTTTCTAATCAGACCCAACTCTGAAAATATCTTTAAAAACAAATTTGAGGTGAACTTAAATAATCAACCTCTGTCCAATAAGTTCAGTTTCAGTGGATGGTGTAAGTGTGCTTTAAGTTTTTTTGACACAACTAATCTTAGGTTTTTTGATGATTTCTGTCCCTCTGATTGTTACTTTTAGGCTATTGGATAAAAAACAAATGTGTTTCTTTGACTGTTGTTGTCCCAGTCAGTTTCAACCTTAATTTGTTTGTGAACAGTAAGATTATTACAGTAGCAATTAAAAATGGTTTTGTTATTAAATACTTACTTGTAAGCTAAAACTTATAAAATGTAGATTAATGCAGACATTGTGCATCACCATTTATTTTTCTAAGTCCCACCTTTAAAATGTATACATTGGGATCATTTCCACATGTGCTTGCAATGTTAATGACATTTAAACCAATCACTGTATGAAAACAAAAAGGTTAGTGAAACACAAACATAACCTACAAGAACCAAGTAAAGGTGAGAATTTAAAATATCTTGATGCTGGGAAACTTTTACATTATCCTATATTGTGCTTTAAAAACGTATATTGTTTTATTTTCAGTGAAGATCTGTTTTTCATTATTTGTTGTTCCTTTTTTATTTTTGCTGTAAGAATTATACAGTTTGTCAGCCCTTTTCAGTTGATATGTGGTTGCATGCATATGGATGAAAGGCCATATTGAATCACATCTCATATCACAACTTTAAATACTTCCGAGCAAAGTGTAAGTGTGTTATCTATGAAAATGCTTTTAGCAGCATAGTAAAGATCTTTAATTTGTTGTGATCGTTTGTGAAACAATCAGAAAAGATGACAGTCAAAGGTAATAAAATCAAGTTGAAAACGTTTCAAGGTTGCAGGAAATTATTGGATGCAAAACTGTAGAAGAAAGAGAGAGAGAATATTTAAGAGCTTCATCTGTTGTAAAGTCTGTGTCAAAAATAAGGATGCAATATTAAGAGACCAAACAATATATGGGTGCATCAAAACATCCATAAGAGCTTTCACCAAGCATCTTGAACATAATAGTGTTGTGTAGTTTGATAATATCAATAACTCTGCTGATATAATGCAAGTGTTCTTAACATTAAAGAGTAGATGTTTTCTTGCTATTACCTATTGTAACATCACTCTAAGCATCCATGGGATTCGCAGGTGCAAGTGAACATGTGCTTGCAATTCATTACGTGCATGTAGTTTTAATCATGAAGAGAAGAATCAGAAAAACATACTTAATAAAGTTTGTTAGACACCTAACAGCAACATTAATGCATCCATGGGGTGGTATATATATATATATATATATATATAAGTGATCAACTAATTGTTAACTACACTGCATGTCCACTAATTATTCGATACTTGAAGCTGTATAGTGGTTGAAGAGCACTTAAATATCATGAATTTTTCACAGTGCAATATAAAACAGATACATATTTAAAGTCACATAATGCTCTAGTGGATGATATTTTGGATTCAAGCACCATGATAATTAAGATGTTTTCACCTATAATCAAAATCATTTGATATATCCTGCCAACATTCAGCACAAGTGGTGAAATGAAAGATAAATGAAGACTATTTTACAGCAATATAATTATGATTCTGTTATGGTAGTCACTCAAGAGGGATTTATATGCAGTGAAAACAGGTGTGCGTGTAAGCCTAATAAATGTATGTCAAAATCAACACTTACATAACTAGAACAAAATTTGTTTCATTTGAAAATTGTTGTAAAAGTATTGTTTATTATTAAAACTAGAAGTTGATCTATATAAGTACCAGCTTGTATCTACTGCTTGCATCTTTCTTTGTAATATACGTGTACAGTTTTCTCTAATATACTTTACATTTTGTAAATTATTACTTAATTATTTGCTCTGAGAGATATGTTACACGTGTATTACTGCAGGAAAATTATAGAAGGTTATAGATATCTAGAAAAAACTTCTCAGCTGTAGTATCTCTGAATATTTTATTACATTTTGGGGAGATTTTATTGGACTTTTTTTACCATCTTTGTTAGAACATCATAAAAAAGATCAAGATAACTTTACAAACATACTGTAGGCAATTTTACAACAGAGGGAAAGTTTAGCCAAGACAGAGAGAGAGAATGAACTAATACAGTAATGCCTAAAATTTACCTTCAGAGATCCAGTTTGTCTGTTGCACCAGTTGGTACTAATTGATTATTGCTGATAATGTGTATTATGTAATTGTATTTAAATATTAGATTTATTTTTAATGTAAACGATAAAATCATTTACTAAAATTCTTGTTTTGTGAAACAAAACCGGAAAGTATCAATAGCTTCCAATGATTTTATATTTTAATTTTTCAGTTTACGTGATTTTCTACTTTCATCATGATCAAATGGATGATTGAGTTTATAAAAGAGTTTAAGAGAACAGATTTTTTTTTATATTTTGACAGAATGACACCTTCCTTTGCCGGCGTTTCACGGTTTTTGTCACCAAGTATAACTTAATGCCTAAGGACAATCTCATTGTTCCAATATTAGGGGATGAAACCAGCATGAATGAAAGTGAAGCATGAAGATTTTCAGCATCAAACTTGTTATTCTGTATTTACTAAGCATCTTAATATTAGTATTGTTATTTAATGTTCCCACTACTTGTGCTTGTAAGATGTGTTGTGTATCTTTAACCTTTATATATAATGTCAGATCTGTAAAATTTTCTTGTATTATAATCAATCATCTTGTTTATTAGTAGATAAAAATGGACATTTACTCTACCTGTCAACAGGGAAATGTGTTTTCCTGTCTGGACTCACACAACACCAATTGGATTTTAGTGTGAAAATAAATTGTTCTGTTATCACAGTGTATGTTTTTGTGAAGTAAGTTTTATTTGATTGGGAGCTGTTGATAACAGGTTGTTGTTAACAAAGTATCATGCATGTTTATTAATGGAAACTAAGACAGTTTATATCAACTGTTGATAGTTCAATAAAGGTATAAGTCTCTTACAAGTATAAGTTTAACATACTGTATATGTACATACTTCTAAAAGATTAGTGAAAGTAGCATTTGGTATCTATTCTAAAAAATTGTATTTTAAAACCTAAATGTCTTGGGACAAAACTGTTGGATCTGAATATGCAATCAAGTAGGTTATTTCTTGTCTTTTAATATATTTATTTTAATCAAGCAGGAAAAAAATTGAAGATTTTCATCTCTATAAATATCATACTTTTTTTTAAAAAAGCCAACCATTTACTTCATAGAAAGAAACACACAATTGTAAATAACTCAATCAGTTGAAAATAAAAACCATATTTCAGCTATATTAGGTTGTGGTAGAAATACACGATGGTAAATAACTCAATCAGTTGAAAATAAAAACCATATTTCAGCTATATTAGGTTGTGGTAGAAAAATGGTAAATGGTAAATAACTCAATCAGTTGAAAATAAAAACCATATTTCAGATATATTAGGTTGTGGTTTAATTTCTTCTGAATAGATACACCAGAACTTGAATCTTTACATTTATATAAAATAGTGGAAGAAGAGTTTGAAATTATTCGAGAAAAGAATAATTCAAATTAAGAACTAATATTTTATCATTAATTTAGATGCTGTTCACTTTAGAAACTCGCATGCAATAAAATGTAAAACAATGGAGTACTAAAATTTTGGTGAGCATTCCCGTGCTCTATTTGTGCATTTTTACATCAGTTTTTACATAAATATAATAAGTCTTAAATAAAATAGCATTTCTTCCTTTTTTTATTTAATTTTTGAAATTAAATTGGCCGTATATTTTGATCTATAACAAATAATATATTGTAATTGAATTACATGTTTTCATACGTTTTTCAATAAGATTTTTCTCGGAATAAGAGTCACTTAGATGCTTGTGAAATTCTTAAACCTGATGTAATGTCATTCTAGTTTAATACAAGAACTTTCAATACCAGGACTTGTCTGGTGGACTGGACAACGAGAGAGAAAAGATTACGTGAAACGCTATTTATATATGCAATATAATACTTTAAAATACCGAAAGCTGTCAAAGCATTGGAAACCGATAGGCCTAAAATGTGTGATAAAAATCACTTACTCTGCAGGTGTTTTTTTTTGTTTTTTTTTTACATTTCTTTCAACCTGACTAATTTGGGTTGAAAATCAGGGGTGTGTGAAATGCAAAAAACTTCCAGGATTTTCACAACAAAATGTTTCTGTGTCGTACCATACTTGACTAGCCAAATCCTGGTCTGTGAATCCTTTAGAGTGCATAATAACTTGATTAAATATATAGTTGTCATGAAGGAATGGATTTTTACAGTGTACAAAACCATTTTACTGAAAATGCATCAATTTTGCACAAACTTCTAATTTTAAATCCCCGTGATTTATTTTATTATAACTATTATTAAACTTCGTTTGTCCAAATGACATTTTGCGATGACATATTTCTTCATTCAAACTAATTAAGGGTCTTTTCTAATCATCTGAGAAAAAATATCAGTATAGAGTGTAATTTCTCTAAAATTGCCCTTTAGAAAAGCTAGCTAACTGTGAACTGGACACTTGCATTGTATAAACATTAAAGGTCTAAGTCAAAGAAACAGCCTGCAACAATACAATAAACAGTATAATGGATCGGAAACTTTAGATATCTTGAAAACAAAACGTATAAAACTCAACTATTAATCCATTTAGATCTCTTCCACTACGAAAATTCTTAATTGTATGGATTGCTTCATTTATTTTCTATCAATTAAATAAATGGAAATTTAATATTTGTATTTCAATTCACCTCAATGTTACATAATAACTGAAATTATGAATTTTTGAAATTAGAAGTCTATACTGTTTCAAATGAGTTTTTATTTTCATCAGACTACTAATTATAAAATGCCCCTTCCAGTGGCACAGCGGTATGTCTGCGGACTTACAACGCCAGAAACCGGGTTTCGATACCCGTGGTGGGCAGAACACAGATAGCCCTTGTGTAGCTTTGTGCATAATTAAAAACAAACAAAACAAAACTAATTATAATATGTCTTATTTACGTACTTTTTAATGCTACGGTTTTCAGATTCAGGAAAGTCTAGGAGTGTCCCCTGCTGGGTCAGCGGTAACTTGACAGATTTACAATACTAAATCCAGCTTTCGATTCCCTGCGGTAGAGAAAGTGCGATAACCCTTTGTGTAGCTATGCGCTAAAACAAACAAATAACGTCTAGAAACAAGGACTAAAAAATCTCGGTTTCTTCGCACCACTCTTACAGAAAAGACCACTCTAATTTTTCTGAAATGACTGTGTCAGGGGATCATTATGAGAAAGTATCGCGTAGGGTAGAAATTAACGCGATATATGAACTTATTCACCTATTGATGATTTATTTTATTACAGTTAACTGAACTGTTTAAAAATACTTATTGACAGTTCAGCACCTTACTTTTCATGCCACATCTACCTAAGCATCAATTTTTTTTATCTGCGAAATTTAACTTACATTGCTTTCTTAGAACTATATCAAAAATACAACTTAGAGAAAAAAATCCAAATTATTTGACTTAATTGTCTTTATCACAAGAAGAAGCAGTAATTGCAACGTTAGGCTTATCTTTACAATTAGTTTTCGGAATTCATTAATAAATGTATAATACTTTGGACAGATAATTATCGAAAAATACAGTGTTTTGTTTTTCGTCCTTACCTCGGAGGATTTTCATTCCAAGTAATGTAATGTTGCTAATTGAAAACAATTTATTCTGTACTGTAGTTATGATATTGCCACAAACGTGACACAATATTACCCAAACCACACAGTTTGTTCTGAAATAATTCAATACAAAATGTATTTTAGTAGATAATGTTCCCATAATTTTTTCCAATTAATGGTAGATACAGAGAATTGGGTACGTTACATTTAAAACGAGATTGAATATGCAAATTAGCAAGTCGTGTGCCAACCACAACCGATATAAAGTCGTGTTGGAACAGAATGTATCAGAACTATATTGTGACATTACTTGGGATTCGTCGATAGTACAATACTACCGAAAACTGACCGCTTTTGGGAAGGTATGTAACAGCTCTTTCCAAAGCAAAATAATCATAAAGCGAAAAAACTATTGATTTGTGACTAGTGTACTTCTCATCCGAAAAATCTGCATTTGGGTTTAATGGATGATAAAAGTGATGTAACTTGTGCGTGGCCAAGGCCATGAGTTTATTCGGAGAGGATCTTGATGCATAATGTAAATGATGCAGGAGAAATTGGTTTAATTATTCTTTCAGAACAACTTTAAAATCTTCCGCAACAAACACGGGAAAATGTTTTTCTGATAAATAGGTAAATAATTATTTTAAAATGTATAACATTCTACAGGAAGCCTTTGTGCATAAATGTTGCTTAATAGTGTTTTACAGTTGTTCTTTCGTTGGTGGGTTCTTTTATGTTATTTAGTGAAACTTCCAATTCACGTAAAAAATTACAAATTATTTTTATTACTTCCTTAACGTTTCTCTACAGCTAACTTGTTATAGTCATGCTGTCTGCACGATACCAAGGTAAAAATTAGCTAACTTGTACAAAGTAACTCATTATGCACGCCAGTTAAGACCAAAAACGTAAGCACGCTGACTGATTCACTCTGCTAGCTAGAAAATAATTTTATATTTTCTTGATGTTTCACTGCAAGCTTACTTGGCCAGTTCACTGGCTTACTCGAATTTATATTGTTCTAGATTTTTGCAAATCCTCTCCTTCACCCACCCCTTTGGGAAACCCAGGGATTTACTGAAAAAAAACCTTCTCCTAAACTGCCGAACTCACTAACATATAAATGGTGCCAAAAGAATCGTTTCGGTCCTGAAGTTTGCACAAAGGTAAAACTTTTCACCCAATCCCTTAGTACTTAAAGCATTAAATTTACATTATAGCGGCCCTGTAACTGTGAGGCAGGGGACCATGGGTTCGCTAGTTTCATATGTTAAGTGTAAAGTGTGTTCCTTAATTTGATCTGAAAACAACATTGCCACTCCCTGTCTGTCGATACACCTCAATAAAACTTCAACTCTCCATAGATTTTCAATCGAAGATTCATAAGAACTGTCCCAAAATGTTTCATTTAAACATGTTATATATGAGGAACCACCAGGCTTCCCCCGTCACCGAACATGCTCGCTCTTTCAACTTTGGCGGAGTTATAATGTGACGGTCAATCCAACTATATATACATATACGTTGGTAAAAGAGTAGCCCAAGAGTTAGCGGTGGGTGGTGTTGACAAGCTTCCTTTCATCTAGTCTATCACTGCTAATTAGGAACAGCGTAGTGGTACGATCGCTGTTTATATAAACTATTTGTTAGAATAGCGAAGCCTGATTAGATTCAGTTATATTTGTCTTAAGAAAATATTATTAGTTTTCCGAGAAGAAGTGTGCATAATATTATTATGCACTCCTCCTTTCGGAGTG